TATTGCTTTCTTGAAAAAATTACTATAAATATTATATTAAACATGGCATGTGGAAATACTTTGAAAAATATTATTTATTTTCAAATTTTAAACTATTATACCAGTTCCTGCACTAGTAAAGCAGGATTGCCATGATACTTGTTTATCAGGTTACCAGTTAATATTAGTTTTTATTTCGAATTACATTAGTTTATATATATGCACATAATAATAATGTATTTTCTGAATCTGTTTTTAATATTATAATCACAGAAACTATAAATATTTAAATAGTAATTCTATAGAAATTTTTAGATATTTTAGTCAAATGATTGAATCACAATTTACAAAACCTTTTTATAACAGCGTTGTTTCCTATAGGACACAACACTGTTATAAAAAGGTTTTGTAGATTGTTGTCACTCAATACAGTGTTAAGATTAATAGTTGTTTTGTGTTATGATTGAATCAAATGATGACAAATTTCTGATTTTTCTAATTCATTTTATATGTTGAATTGTCAGTTTTAAAATATGCATATTTTATATTTTCATGGTATGTTTTAGAATTCATAAATTAATTTAAAAGTTTTTACAATCTCTCTACACACTGGTGTTTAAATAAAATAAAATAAAAAACTCTTCAAACCTTTAACTGGAGTGCTTCTACTTTTAGAATTGCGAACGTTTTCGTCGCCCCTCCTGGGCACTTCTTCAGGCTATAACAAATGGGCCTTTAATATTTAAATAAACATTCGATATGAATCTCTTCCGAATTCTATCCTAGATATTCTAGGATATGAATCTCTTCCGAATTCTTATCGAATGTTTATTTGAATATTAAAGGCCCATTCGTTATAGCCTGAAGAAGTGCCCAGGAGGGGCAACGAAAACGTTCGCAATTCTAAAAATAGAAGCACTCCGGTTAAAGGTTTGAAGAGTTTTTTATTTTAAAAGTTTTTTATTTTAAAAGTTTTTAATCATTTTATGCTTCATGTTGTATAAATGGCAGGTGATGGTAGCTTTCATATTTTCTTTTATGTAAATCATTCTGATTCATTCTGAGATTTATTTCTATGATTGAATATCTCTGAATGATTGGGACAAATTAAATTGCCTAAGTAAACTTATTCAATGATATTTAATATTGTACATTTGAAATACAGTATATGTAGCAATGTATTAATTGACTAATATCTACGTTATTATTGATAATATATTTTCTGTATGTAATTCATTATCTAAGATTGTAGTGTTCTTTTGCCTGCTGCTCATTCTTTTCGGATTATTAGCATTAGGATATGTATGTATGTAATTCATTACCTAAATTCTTAGTTTTGACATCTAAGGAGTAGATTGAAACCTGATATTTCTGTTAGTCTGGCATGGCATCCCTGTGCACAGGATTTTAAAAAGGTTTAGAAAAACATTTTATTTTTTTTATAACATAGTTGATTAATTTTTACAATATAGGTATATGGAATAACACAATACAGTAGACTAAGAAAGAACTGAATGAATACAAAATAAATATACTGTTTTATTAACATAGTAATGGAAACAATTAATCCCTAACCTTTTTCTTTAGTGCAATCTTGGCTAAAGTTTTTATTTGGCAAAATTTTAAATTATTTGCTACATTATAATATTGATATTAATGATTTTATTAAAATTTTTTATACATTTTTAGCTTTTCTAAAATATAAGCATATTATTGACATATTGTATCTGAATCTACCTAAATTTTACTTTGAAGAACAAAGTGCATAAATCATTCTCTTATTTTAAAATATGAGAGAGTGATTTTAACTATTTTATCTGTTAATAAAAAGCCAGTTGGATTGTTTAAATTATATATTATAAGTTATTAAATTACCTATAATTTTGTGAGATATTCTGAAATTTTATTTCATTTATATGTAATGAAGTTTTATAATATAAATATATTATAAATATGCACAGAAATATATATAACCTAATCTCAAACTTAAAAGAGAAATAGGTTTCCATAATCATGTTTGTCTCATAATCATATTATTATTAACTGCTTGATTCTGTAATGAGAATAACTTGATAAAATCTTTAATATTTTACTTTAATATTTTACAGTAACTTCTCAATGCAATGAACAGTGATACCAAAGACTAAAACAAATATTTCATTTATGTATTTATTTATTTTATTTTTAATTAATTATTTTAATATAATTGCAAAGTGCATTAATTAAAATATAATTGCAAAGTGCAAAATATAATTGCACTTTGCAATTATATTTTGCAATTATGAATTACTTTTCCTGAAAGAAAATTCAATAATTTTTCCATTGTAAAAATAGGAATACATTGCTTTCTTCTATAATTGATAATTTATTTTTAATGGATTTTAAAAAATTCAAAGAAAAAGTATACAGTGGTCTTGTTTTAAATTTTGTTGACATTCCATATATGTAGAGTTTCAAATAAATTTTTATTTTTAAAATTCTTATAATTTTGAACAGTGGCAGACCTATATTTTTTGGTATCCTGAAGATCCTGACTGTTACAGGAACACTTTTGCAACCATCAACAATATGGTAACATCCAACAAAGTCCAAAGGGCAGTGCTGTCCTTACAAGGACCTGAAGATCCAAATGGCAAAGAATAGGGTAGAGGGATGGAGTGAACTGAAGCACTAGTTACTGGCTAATGAATCTAGCAGAAATATACATTTAAAAATATCATCCATGATAAGCCTATACTTACAGTTCTTTAACACTAAACACTAGCAAAGATATAATCAAAACTTTGCTAAAAATGAAGAAAAAGAAAATCACATTGGAGGAATAAAAGTTATGTTACCTAACATCAATGAACAGAAAAAATATTAGTTCAGTTAACAACTGCTACTTTACAACTGGTTAGTATTAGACAATAATAAACATTACAAAAGACCTTGTTAAACCAGCGAGAAAAATTATAAACACTTTGTTTATAAGTATTAGTTCATTCTCTATTAGAGTTAGAAGGTCATCAGAGGGTGGCATGTTAGGATAAAGAAGTGAAAATCTGATTTTTGGTGTTAAAATTCACAAGTGAGATGAATGCAGCCTGAATTGAGAATTCAGATGTCTTTTTATGGTTCTGATTGACTCTAGCTAGGTCTGAGCAATAGAACAATTAAATTGTGTACCAACATCTGGGGGTTTGGGCACTGCAAACCGTTGAGAAAATTTTGAAATTTGACCAATTATAGGAACATTTTGAAACTATATGAAATGAGTATTAGAACATATAAGGCCAATATTTAGTACAGTAGAGCATCGATTATCTGACCCCCGATCAACTGTCACATCGGTTAACCGATCGCATTCTAGTCAGCAAATTCAAATGTCCGCTGGTGATTCGGCGCTATAATATTTGGCTATGTCTTGGCTACTTTAATATTATTTTTGGTGTTTTAGCTGGCAACACTGGCTCGATCATGAAAGGGATGCCAGTATTTAAACGAGGCTTAATTTTCTAATTATGAGTGGTTGTTTGTTTTGTAAGCAATAAAATAATTTTAAAATAATTTTTAATGACACAATAGCGACGATTATCATTTAAAAAAATTTTTGTTAGGCTATACATCGATGAAAATTCAACGCGAAGAGGTTAATAGCGATATACTAATTACATGAGATATAATAATATACTATACTAGTAATGTATTTTTTCATACTTTTCGGTTATTCGTTTTTTCAGTTATCCGACCAACCCCAGTCCCTTAATTGAGTCGGATAATCGATGCTCTACTGTACTTCAATCCACTGGCTTATGATTCTATGACTAAAATAGTATTATTCTAACAGCAAACACTTAAAAAATCTCCATTGTTTTTGTTGAAAAACTCACTCATTAAAAAAGTTGCTTCAAGGTCTCTCCAGGATTATAAGTCCTGAAACTTATATGATATTAACTTCATAGTAGATCCTTCACTGATTTTGACAAATATTGACAAATTATGTCCTTTCAAAATTTTCCACTTAGACACCAATTTAGTCATTCTTTTTAAAATCTAATATTGGCTGTAATTTATAAGTACAAAAATGATTTTAGCAGTTAAGTTTTGAAATAAGTTATTGGGAATTTATTGTAAACTTATTAGTAAAGTTGTAATTAGGAGAATATGTTGTGAATATCTTTTAAGTTTTGTAAAACTAAGAATAAACTTTTGGAATTCTAATCAGAATTTAGGAATTTTAAATAATTTTTGATATTTTAACATATTTAAATATGTATATTTATGATTTATATATAGCTGTTATAGTATTTTTTCAATGTTCTGAGAATAATGTATTTTGAAAAGGTTTAATGTATACTTTTCAAATACCATATTTATTCTAATAACCATCACATACTAATAGTAAGACAATTGGAGAAAGATAAGGCTTATTTTAAACTGAAAAATTACATAATCTATTCAACATTGTTATGTTGAAATAAAGTGTAACTGTATTGAATGTTGAATTGTTGCATGAATAGTAATAAAGTGAAAAAAGTTGTTGGATTTATTCCATTCATAATCATCCTTGAATAATAGTTGCACCCAATTCTCAAAGAATACAAATAAAAGTCACTCTCTAATAAAAACAATGTACTTGCAAGCTGAAAAAAGTTAAGACAGTGTGTGTTTATTAGAATAAATACAGTGTTAACTTTTTGGAAGTTGTTTTAGTAGATTAGAACTTTTAAAAGTTGATAATTTTAACCATTTTTAATAGATGATTGATTATGTAGAGAATGCTGAATCAGTATCTTTGAGATAACTGTTGTGTATTTTTAAAACAAAATCAAATAACTTTATTTTACTGCCTGTTAAACATCAATACTTCACAAACCTTTTGCTGTATAATGAGAGTATAAATTCTTATATTTACAACTTACAAATATTTGTTGTGTTCCATTTCTAATTAACATATCTATTTTTATTATTAAGCATAAAATTTTCAGAAATTATAATAGAATCTTATGTAGTATTGCTATTTTCTTTTTCTTTTTCAGATTCACAATTTTCAGCATATAGTACAACATCATCTCCCACTTTAAATCATGATGCTAATGATTCACCATCACAAGATTCGAGTCAGTGTCAGCAATCTTCAGATGTATTTTCTTCTATGAAAGCAGTTCAAGGAAAAAAGACCAGTGCCCAAATTACAAAACAGTTAGTACAAGAAACTCTTATTGATGAAGGACTACGTGTAGTTAAAGAATTGGCTAATCAAATTAGAGACGATACCAATATTCATATTCCTCCTCCCAAACCAGAAGGTCGTCCTCGCGGTAGACCACCAAAATTAGACAGGGATTATTCAATATCCACAGCTTCAGCAACAAATGCTATTCATACTCCCACTTCTTGCAGTGCATCAATGCCTGCTACTGGCTTAGTCAGTAGTGGTCCTCCAACACCATCAGCTCAGAACGGTCGAAGTCCAATGTCTGTAAATGGGCCATCAGAAAATAACAGTGCCTCTCACGTGGACATAATGACAGTGCCCATCACAAATGGCACCAGTGGCCTTCAACATGGTACAGGCAATAGTGATAAATCTAATGATAATTCACAAAGTGATACAAATAAGGGATCTGAAAACAGTTTAAATGCACTCTTAGCTTTTTCTCAAAAGGGATTAATAAAACAAGAACCACCATCACCAACCATTGGTTTTAAAATGGAATAAATCATTTTTTCACTTTATAGAAAAGCCACTTTGCAATTATAGTCAATAAAATAATACAAACAGCTGTTGCAGTTGGTGTTCCCTCTGTTTTTGTTTGTTGCAAGTTGAAGAAAATTGCACAGTTGAGTGATATTGAATCCTGCAGCCTTTGTGTCTACAGCTTTTCACCTTCATCAATATTCTTACATCGGATCCCATATTATTTTAGTTGTTTGTGCAGTGTCTGCAAACATTGTGTACATGCTATTCATTCCATAATTGAAGTCATAAAATGTAGAGTTCATGTGCAATTTCTAAGCTTTTTAGTGAATCAGATTACAATGATTACAATATGACTGAGACCACAAATGTGGTAAGAAAAAGTCTGTGATTCTTTTCTTGTTTTATATATGTGATCGCTATTGCAGTTGCAATGACTGCATAGTGGCCAATAATGCAAAACTGTTTGCTCCAAGATTGCTGTTGCTGTCAACTTTCAGTGAGGTTTGTGAATTTTAATTTAAATGTTTACTTTTTTTAATGATAAATCCATTATACAAGATAAAACAATAGATACATTTTTTGATCCATCTGCATAATCTGTGTTATCAGAAGCTTAAAACTTTTTTCTGCAGAAGCAAGTTGTGGTCATTGATAGATCACTTATTGTGGTGCTTGCTAACAGAAAGGATAAAAATTGTAAATGTGAATTTTGCTGTCATAGTAGTATATAGGCAATGCATTAGAATACAAATAGTATCATCTCTTCTAGATACTATATGTTAGATATATGTATACAAGATTGTGGTAATCTATATTCCCCTAAAATGTCGTGATACATTAACGCTCCATATACAGATGAAATGCTCATAGAATATGCATGATCCAGAAATATACAGTACTTCAAAACTGATTTAATCAGTGATCACAATAGCTGCATCAAAATAGTTTCATTAGTGTATCAACAGCAGCGAATTTGTGGCCACAATACCAAAATAAAAAAGTTGCAATATGTATTCGGTAAATTTTGTCTATATGCCATGGACAATGTATGCTGCTGTGATCAGTTACTCCAAATGAGTAACTCTATGCTGATACCAGCATACACATTTAGATTGTCTATGCCCTTTGGGACATAGTTGCAATAGGTGGAATGCTGTGATGAATGTTGCTGCCATACAAAACTTGACAAGGCAGTAACAACTTTCCCCTTGTATCTTTTTCTCCCTGTAAGTGTCATGAAGTCATTTGTAGTATGAAATGAAGCAGTTCACATACTGTTGTGCATATGTAATTCAAAGTGATTTTGTTGTGATATTGTAAAAAAAATGGGGGGTTAGAGTTTTGCCAAAAGTGGGATAAAACCAAAAATTGTGATAAAACGACATAGTCTTTTAGCCATAATTTTACTTATTGGTATTATGTGAAAAATCTTGGTTACTCTTTGTCAAATATTCCAGTTTAAAAAGAAAAGGAATAGGCATTTGTCAACCTTCCTGTTGCACAGTGTTTTGTATGTAGAAGAGATTTTGTAAGTCAATTGTAATGTATGAATGCAGATTATTAATCTGAAACAAAATTCCAGATATAGTTTTAATATCAAACAAATATAATTTCTATATCTTTATTCTATTTTAAATTTATCTCTTAAGAAGCATTTTAAATTGAATTAGTAAGATTGAATAATTCTTTAATACTATGATATTTTTTAATATATGATTACATAAGTGAATCCATTTCTTTCAAATAAATGCATTAAAATTAATTTCTTTACTTACTATAGTATATTTGCCATATCAAATTGGCAGCTAAAATAAAGCTAAAATTAATTACTGTGTGATTAGCATGGATGATATATATGTTGTATGTATGAGCTATATTCATTATTTATTTGGCCAGATCTGACCAAAGATTTTAAATCTGGGCTTTTAGAAAAGTAGTTGCAATTTTTAGTCTCTCAATTTTTGTGTCAAATTAAAATGTTGATTATTTTTAATAAAATCATATCAAAAACAGTGGAATTAAACATTTTTGACAGCTTTTAAACTTACCTTGAAATATAAAATTAATTTTGTTGTTTCTAACCTACATTTTTAATATTTTTGATTTTCTAAATTATATTTTGGATCTAAAGCTATTATCTAATTAAATATAATTTTAACTTTATAGATCTGTTTAAATTCAGTCAATCTAAACATTTTGTAATTAAATTTTTAACATTTCTTTTTAATGGAAAAATAATTTTTATACTTTTAAATAAAATTTCTAATACAGTATTTTAATAATTTAAACTATCCATACAATCTATTATAAATTCACAATAATAATAAAATAATAATCACAGAAAAATTAAGCAGATTAAAAAGAGCAACTGATACCCATAAATTTTCAATATAAAATATTTGACATAGAGAATAACCTATCAGAATTTTTTGTATATAGACCTTTTTCTAAATGAAAATTCTTAAATTATAGATACAACTGTAAGTTAGACTATAATTCCAAATGATGAAATTTTATGTCTGAGATTTTATTTCTGTACANTTTATTCTACGCTATAATTTGCATAGACAGAGTACAAAACAGTCATTAATGTGCCTCATGCACTTTGAAATATTAGATTCTATAGTAATGCTGTTTATTTATTTAAATTCTGGGTTGAAAATCATTTAATGCAGAAATATGCAGACGATACTTCTATTATTTTAGACTGTTTTATAAATTCAGATTTGGAAGAAATATAGTATATTTTTAATTTTAAAGATGAATGTGTTAATGAGGCTGTAAATAAACAGTTATAGTATAGAAAAGAATAGCACCAAAATTTAGTACAAGCATTTCTTCATTTTGCTGATCTGAAAAATGCAGATAGCAAATGGAATTAATTACATTTCAATAATCATTTAAATAATATGTATTATTGAAATAAATTTAGGTTCATTTGCAAATAACAGTTTCTGATTTTACTCAAACATTATCAAATTGATAAAAGTTATTAATAAAAATAAAACATAGTCAAAGTTTATGTGAAATATTTTTAAATTAAGTTTTTACAAAACAAAAATTCAATGCTATTTGACTCATTAAAATTATTAATAATACTGTGATGGAAGGAATAAATACACTACCAATGACATTAAGCTTTTTATATTCTCTGAAATTGATTAGTAGAATTTTCCTAATTTTATTTTATTCTAGTCATTTTATTAAGTGACGTTAAAAAATTTTATAAATGCTTTCATTTTTTTTAATATTGTAATTATTTTAATAGTTTATTCTTCTGAAAGCTTAAAAATATTTCCGTTTTTAATAACTTATTTTCTATTACATTTTGTATAATTCAGAAATCACATAATTAGTTTTTTAAATCAGTTTAGGGACTATTTGTTTGCACAAAACAGAAACAGAAATTGTTTGAGATTGTTTAAATTATATTTTTACCATACTATATTAATGCATTTACTAAGGTTAATGAATTTTGCTTAATTAATAGAAATATAGTAAAACTGTCCAAAACAACCTGAATAAAATGGAAAAAATATTCAGATGTTTTTACAAGTTTTACTTTATTTCCATATTTAAATATACTAAATGCTCATATTTCTTTAATAATCAATATTAACAAATTTATTGAATTGCAGACATAATCTCTTTTAATGATAAAATCTATTAAATAAGCTGTTTAAATATTATTTTTTTGTTATTTTCAAAATTAGAAATAATAGTAAAATTTGATTGGAAATTACAATTTTTAGATTTAAATTTGGCAATGGAGAAACATAAGAAATTAAATATGAATGAAATTTTGTTATTTAGCTTATTTTATATTGTACTTTTATTATTGATATTTTTTTTTATTGAATAATATATTTTAATTTAATATTTTGTTCAGTTGTTAAATATTTTTTGTTGGGAATGAAGAAAATATAATATAATTTATAATGATAAACTATATTGGCCGAAATTAAAACACACTCACAAGCTGCTATTTATCATTAAATTATGCAAAAATGTATTTCAAAATAAATGTGTGTTTGTATTTGTTTATTTTATAAATTTTTTTTGTTTTTTTTTTTATTTCTTAGATTGTGTTGAAGTCTGGTAAACTTCTAAGAATTACAATATTAAAAATTTATGGCATTTAAAATAAGTACTATTCACAACCTTAGTTACACAGTAATCTTTTTAATTTACAATAATAAGAATATTTTCAGATTTTTAAACCCCAATAACATAAGTTTAAAATGATTTATACAATTTTTACAAAAATTCATTATAGAGACTTTTGATGTTGGAGTTTAAAACTTTAAAAATATTTAAATTAATGTAAATAAAAGAATTCATACTTAAAACATGAACAGAATAATTGTATTAATAAAAAAGTTACTTTCATTTATCATCTGTATATTTGTTTAAACTTGTTGTAATACTTTGTTTTGTTTTACATTGTTTTCTGATGTTGATAAATATGATAAAATTATCTAAGATTATGTAATAAAAAAAGTTTTTGTCTATATGTCCAGATTATTAAATTCAATTATATAAAGCTTATAAAACAGTTGAAATACTATGGTTAATTCTTTCTCAGATTTATTGAAAACTGTTTAGATGTATTTATAAAAAAAATGGATTTATTTTATTTTCATAGTTTAAATTTCTAATTTAAATGATTTTCACCCATTGAATTATATTTAATAAATTTTATAAAAGTTTATGATTTGAATTGTTTTTAAAGAATACACAATAATACGGTAGGCAGACTACTAATTTAGGAAGCTATTTCCTAATTTAAAAAGTTTTGAATCTCATTCAAGTATGCAAAATATTAACAATTTTTTCGTACACAATATATTTTGAAAATTGCCAATGATACACTTTTGTGATATTAAAATTTGACAATAAAACTTAAATTCACAATTATAGCATTTTCATTTTCTTTTGTGTNATCTCTTTTAATGATAAAATCTATTAAATAAGCTGTTTAAATATTATTTTTTTGTTATTTTCAAAATTAGAAATAATAGTAAAATTTGATTGGAAATTACAATTTTTAGATTTAAATTTGGCAATGGAGAAACATAAGAAATTAAATATGAATGAAATTTTGTTATTTAGCTTATTTTATATTGTACTTTTATTATTGATATTTTTTTTTATTGAATAATATATTTTAATTTAATATTTTGTTCAGTTGTTAAATATTTTTTGTTGGGAATGAAGAAAATATAATATAATTTATAATGATAAACTATATTGGCCGAAATTAAAACACACTCACAAGCTGCTATTTATCATTAAATTATGCAAAAATGTATTTCAAAATAAATGTGTGTTTGTATTTGTTTATTTTATAAATTTTTTTTGTTTTTTTTTTTTATTTCTTAGATTGTGTTGAAGTCTGGTAAACTTCTAAGAATTACAATATTAAAAATTTATGGCATTTAAAATAAGTACTATTCACAACCTTAGTTACACAGTAATCTTTTTAATTTACAATAATAAGAATATTTTCAGATTTTTAAACCCCAATAACATAAGTTTAAAATGATTTATACAATTTTTACAAAAATTCATTATAGAGACTTTTGATGTTGGAGTTTAAAACTTTAAAAATATTTAAATTAATGTAAATAAAAGAATTCATACTTAAAACATGAACAGAATAATTGTATTAATAAAAAAGTTACTTTCATTTATCATCTGTATATTTGTTTAAACTTGTTGTAATACTTTGTTTTGTTTTACATTGTTTTCTGATGTTGATAAATATGATAAAATTATCTAAGATTATGTAATAAAAAAAGTTTTTGTCTATATGTCCAGATTATTAAATTCAATTATATAAAGCTTATAAAACAGTTGAAATACTATGGTTAATTCTTTCTCAGATTTATTGAAAACTGTTTAGATGTATTTATAAAAAAAATGGATTTATTTTATTTTCATAGTTTAAATTTCTAATTTAAATGATTTTCACCCATTGAATTATATTTAATAAATTTTATAAAAGTTTATGATTTGAATTGTTTTTAAAGAATACACAATAATACGGTAGGCAGACTACTAATTTAGGAAGCTATTTCCTAATTTAAAAAGTTTTGAATCTCATTCAAGTATGCAAAATATTAACAATTTTTTCGTACACAATATATTTTGAAAATTGCCAATGATACACTTTTGTGATATTAAAATTTGACAATAAAACTTAAATTCACAATTATAGCATTTTCATTTTCTTTTGTGTAATGTGTGATGGCATTTTATCAAATGAATTAAATAATCTTTAAGAGTGAAGTGAAACAAAAGAATTAATATGAAAACAACTTTTAAATTATGATTATAGAATGTTTATAAAGTCATGAACAGTTTTTAAAATTAATTTTAATGCATTTTATTAAGTTTAAATCAAAAAGTATCTATATCCAATAATAATATATTTTTTATTCTACGCTATAATTTGCATAGACAGAGTACAAAACAGTCATTAATGTGCCTCATGCACTTTGAAATATTAGATTCTATAGTAATGCTGTTATAATTGCAGTATAATCTGGAGTGACAGTTATCTTGATGTTTTCATAACAGTTGAAAAAGAAAACNTATGTAGAGTTTCAAATAAATTTTTATTTTTAAAATTCTTATAATTTTGAACAGTGGCAGACCTATATTTTTTGGTATCCTGAAGATCCTGACTGTTACAGGAACACTTTTGCAACCATCAACAATATGGTAACATCCAACAAAGTCCAAAGGGCAGTGCTGTCCTTACAAGGACCTGAAGATCCAAATGGCAAAGAATAGGGTAGAGGGATGGAGTGAACTGAAGCACTAGTTACTGGCTAATGAATCTAGCAGAAATATACATTTAAAAATATCATCCATGATAAGCCTATACTTACAGTTCTTTAACACTAAACACTAGCAAAGATATAATCAAAACTTTGCTAAAAATGAAGAAAAAGAAAATCACATTGGAGGAATAAAAGTTATGTTACCTAACATCAATGAACAGAAAAAATATTAGTTCAGTTAACAACTGCTACTTTACAACTGGTTAGTATTAGACAATAATAAACATTACAAAAGACCTTGTTAAACCAGCGAGAAAAATTATAAACACTTTGTTTATAAGTATTAGTTCATTCTCTATTAGAGTTAGAAGGTCATCAGAGGGTGGCATGTTAGGATAAAGAAGTGAAAATCTGATTTTTGGTGTTAAAATTCACAAGTGAGATGAATGCAGCCTGAATTGAGAATTCAGATGTCTTTTTATGGTTCTGATTGACTCTAGCTAGGTCTGAGCAATAGAACAATTAAATTGTGTACCAACATCTGGGGGTTTGGGCACTGCAAACCGTTGAGAAAATTTTGAAATTTGACCAATTATAGGAACATTTTGAAACTATATGAAATGAGTATTAGAACATATAAGGCCAATATTTAGTACAGTAGAGCATCGATTATCTGACCCCCGATCAACTGTCACATCGGTTAACCGATCGCATTCTAGTCAGCAAATTCAAATGTCCGCTGGTGATTCGGCGCTATAATATTTGGCTATGTCTTGGCTACTTTAATATTATTTTCGTTAAATTTTTGGTGTTTTAGCTGGCAACACTGGCTCGATCATGAAAGGGATGCCAGTATTTAAACGAGGCTTAATTTTCTAATTATGAGTGGTTGTTTGTTTTGTAAGCAATAAAATAATTTTAAAATAATTTTTAATGACACAATAGCGACGATTATCATTTAAAAAAATTTTTGTTAGGCTATACATCGATGAAAATTCAACGCGAAGAGGTTAATAGCGATATACTAATTACATGAGATATAATAATATACTATACTAGTAATGTATTTTTTCATACTTTTCGGTTATTCGTTTTTTCAGTTATCCGACCAACCCCAGTCCCTTAATTGAGTCGGATAATCGATGCTCTACTGTACTTCAATCCACTGGCTTATGATTCTATGACTAAAATAGTATTATTCTAACAGCAAACACTTAAAAAATCTCCATTGTTTTTGTTGAAAAACTCACTCATTAAAAAAGTTGCTTCAAGGTCTCTCCAGGATTATAAGTCCTGAAACTTATATGATATTAACTTCATAGTAGATCCTTCACTGATTTTGACAAATATTGACAAATTATGTCCTTTCAAAATTTTCCACTTAGACACCAATTTACTCATTCTTTTTAAAATCTAATATTGGCTGTAATTTATAAGTACAAAAATGATTTTAGCAGTTAAGTTTTGAAATAAGTTATTGGGAATTTTAATGTAAACTTATTAGTAAAGTTGTAATTAGGAGAATATGTTGTGAATATCTTTTAAGTTTTGTAAAACTAAGAATAAACTTTTGGAATTCTAATCAGAATTTAGGAATTTTAAATAATTTTTGATATTTTAACATATTTAAATATGTATATTTATGATTTATATATAGCTGTTATAGTATTTTTTCAATGTTCTGAGAATAATGTATTTTGAAAAGGTTTAATGTATACTTTTCAAATACCATATTTATTCTAATAACCATCACATACTAATAGTAAGACAATTGGAGAAAGATAAGGCTTATTTTAAACTGAAAAATTACATAATCTATTCAACATTGTTATGTTGAAATAAAGTGTAACTGTATTGAATGTTGAATTGTTGCATGAATAGTAATAAAGTGAAAAAAGTTGTTGGATTTATTCCATTCATAATCATCCTTGAATAATAGTTGCACCCAATTCTCAAAGAATACAAATAAAAGTCACTCTCTAATAAAAACAATGTACTTGCAAGCTGAAAAAAGTTAAGACAGTGTGTGTTTATTAGAATAAATACAGTGTTAACTTTTTGGAAGTTGTTTTAGTAGATTAGAACTTTTAAAAGTTGATAATTTTAACCATTTTTAATAGATGATTGATTATGTAGAGAATGCTGAATCAGTATCTTTGAGATAACTGTTGTGTATTTTTAAAACAAAATCAAATAACTTTATTTTACTGCCTGTTAAACATCAATACTTCACAAACCTTTTGCTGTATAATGAGAGTATAAATTCTTATATTTACAACTTACAAATATTTGTTGTGTTCCATTTCTAATTAACATATCTATTTTTATTATTAAGCATAAAATTTTCAGAAATTATAATAGAATCTTATGTAGTATTGCTATTTTCTTTTTCTTTTTCAGATTCACAATTTTCAGCATATAGTACAACATCATCTCCCACTTTAAATCATGATGCTAATGATTCACCATCACAAGATTCGAGTCAGTGTCAGCAATCTTCAGATGTATTTTCTTCTATGAAAGCAGTTCAAGGAAAAAAGACCAGTGCCCAAATTACAAAACAGTTAGTACAAGAAACTCTTATTGATGAAGGACTACGTGTAGTTAAAGAATTGGCTAATCAAATTAGAGACGATACCAATATTCATATTCCTCCTCCCAAACCAGAAGGTCGTCCTCGCGGTAGACCACCAAAATTAGACAGGGATTATTCAATATCCACAGCTTCAGCAACAAATGCTATTCATACTCCCACTTCTTGCAGTGCATCAATGCCTGCTACTGGCTTAGTCAGTAGTGGTCCTCCAACACCATCAGCTCAGAACGGTCGAAGTCCAATGTCTGTAAATGGGCCATCAGAAAATAACAGTGCCTCTCACGTGGACATAATGACAGTGCCCATCACAAATGGCACCAGTGGCCTTCAACATGGTACAGGCAATAGTGATAAATCTAATGATAATTCACAAAGTGATACAAATAAGGGATCTGAAAACAGTTTAAATGCACTCTTAGCTTTTTCTCAAAAGGGATTAATAAAACAAGAACCACCATCACCAACCATTGGTTTTAAAATGGAATAAATCATTTTTTCACTTTATAGAAAAGCCACTTTGCAATTATAGTCAATAAAATAATACAAACAGCTGTTGCAGTTGGTGTTCCCTCTGTTTTTGTTTGTTGCAAGTTGAAGAAAATTGCACAGTTGAGTGATATTGAATCCTGCAGCCTTTGTGTCTACAGCTTTTCACCTTCATCAATATTCTTACATCGGATCCCATATTATTTTAGTTGTTTGTGCAGTGTCTGCAAACATTGTGTACATGCTATTCATTCCATAATTGAAGTCATAAAATGTAGAGTTCATGTGCAATTTCTAAGCTTTTTAGTGAATCAGATTACAATGATTACAATATGACTGAGACCACAAATGTGGTAAGAAAAAGTCTGTGATTCTTTTCTTGTTTTATATATGTGATCGCTATTGCAGTTGCAATGACTGCATAGTGGCCAATAATGCAAAACTGTTTGCTCCAAGATTGCTGTTGCTGTCAACTTTCAGTGAGGTTTGTGAATTTTAATTTAAATGTTTACTTTTTTTAATGATAAATCCATTATACAAGATAAAACAATAGATACATTTTTTGATCCATCTGCATAATCTGTGTTATCAGAAGCTTAAAACTTTTTTCTGCAGAAGCAAGTTGTGGTCATTGATAGATCACTTATTGTGGTGCTTGCTAACAGAAAGGATAAAAATTGTAAATGTGAATTTTGCTGTCATAGTAGTATATAGGCAATGCATTAGAATACAAATAGTATCATCTCTTCTAGATACTATATGTTAGATATATGTATACAAGATTGTGGTAATCTATATTCCCCTAAAATGTCGTGATACATTAACGCTCCATATACAGATGAAATGCTCATAGAATATGCATGATCCAGAAATATACAGTACTTCAAAACTGATTTAATCAGTGATCACAATAGCTGCATCAAAATAGTTTCATTAGTGTATCAACAGCAGCGAATTTGTGGCCACAATACCAAAATAAAAAAGTTGCAATATGTATTCGGTAAATTTTGTCTATATGCCATGGACAATGTATGCTGCTGTGATCAGTTACTCCAAATGAGTAACTCTATGCTGATACCAGCATACACATTTAGATTGTCTATGCCCTTTGGGACATAGTTGCAATAGGTGGAATGCTGTGATGAATGTTGCTGCCATACAAAACTTGACAAGGCAGTAACAACTTTCCCCTTGTATCTTTTTCTCCCTGTAAGTGTCATGAAGTCATTTGTAGTATGAAATGAAGCAGTTCACATACTGTTGTGCATATGTAATTCAAAGTGATTTTGTTGTGATATTGTAAAAAAAATGGGGGGTTAGAGTTTTGCCAAAAGTGGGATAAAACCAAAAATTGTGATAAAACGACATAGTCTTTTAGCCATAATTTTACTTATTGGTATTATGTGAAAAATCTTGGTTACTCTTTGTCAAATATTCCAGTTTAAAAAGAAAAGGAATAGGCATTTGTCAACCTTCCTGTTGCACAGTGTTTTGTATGTAGAAGAGATTTTGTAAGTCAATTGTAATGTATGAATGCAGATTATTAATCTGAAACAAAATTCCAGATATAGTTTTAATATCAAACAAATATAATTTCTATATCTTTATTCTATTTTAAATTTATCTCTTAAGAAGCATTTTAAATTGAATTAGTAAGATTGAATAATTCTTTAATACTATGATATTTTTTAATATATGATTACATAAGTGAATCCATTTCTTTCAAATAAATGCATTAAAATTAATTTCTTTACTTACTATAGTATATTTGCCATATCAAATTGGCAGCTAAAATAAAGCTAAAATTAATTACTGTGTGATTAGCATGGATGATATATATGTTGTATGTATGAGCTATATTCATTATTTATTTGGCCAGATCTGACCAAAGATTTTAAATCTGGGCTTTTAGAAAAGTAGTTGCAATTTTTAGTCTCTCAATTTTTGTGTCAAATTAAAATGTTGATTATTTTTAATAAAATCATATCAAAAACAGTGGAATTAAACATTTTTGACAGCTTTTAAACTTACCTTGAAATATAAAATTAATTTTGTTGTTTCTAACCTACATTTTTAATATTTTTGATTTTCTAAATTATATTTTGGATCTAAAGCTATTATCTAATTAAATATAATTTTAACTTTATAGATCTGTTTAAATTCAGTCAATCTAAACATTTTGTAATTAAATTTTTAACATTTCTTTTTAATGGAAAAATAATTTTTATACTTTTAAATAAAATTTCTAATACAGTATTTTAATAATTTAAACTATCCATACAATCTATTATAAATTCACAATAATAATAAAATAATAATCACAGAAAAATTAAGCAGATTAAAAAGAGCAACTGATACCCATAAATTTTCAATATAAAATATTTGACATAGAGAATAACCTATCAGAATTTTTTGTATATAGACCTTTTTCTAAATGAAAATTCTTAAATTATAGATACAACTGTAAGTTAGACTATAATTCCAAATGATGAAATTTTATGTCTGAGATTTTATTTCTGTACAATTGAATATTTTTGATGTTTTATTTATTAAGTTTCATACTATCTGTAATTCAAATATGTTTTTTCATTAATATTATATTTGATTATTTTGTGCAATATTCTTTGCATATTCATGAATAGAAAATCAAAATAGAGCTTCTAATTAGTCAGAAAAATATTCCTTATTTAAGTATTTAAGTAAATTTATGCAAATGAAAAAGGCCTATTTACACAGTAACTTACTTTAAAAAATAATAAATTAAAAAGAAATCTATCATTGCCCAGTAAAACAATTTATTGTATGTGATTACATATAAGTTTGATATAAGTTTTATGATCACCTGATTAATGTAAAAATTACAATTTATTTTCTGTGACTATGTTAATGATATTAAAAAGAAAAACTTTAAGCCTTATCTTTCATTAATTGTTCTGTTTTTATTTCACCTATGTTTATAAATTGATTATAATTTATATTTTTAACACATTTCTGATGTTCTGAAATTATAATTTTTACTTTGGCTTTAAACCTAAAATCATTCTTAAAAAATATTGAATTACTGAAAATTGTAAATTATAAAAAAGATTTATTTTTGTTGAAAAATTTTGATTGATAATTTATAAAATTAGTGCCAATTGATATTTAAAAGAAATATATATATATAGATCATTTTTAATTATTATAACTTTTTAATTTACTAATTGCATTCTTCAATGGATGAAAAATTTTTCCCATAAATTTTATTATAATTATTTAATATTGCAATTATTCTGGTTCAATCAATATAAAAATGAATTGTAATTTTAATTTTTTATGCATTCGATAAAAATAGAACAATTCTTTAAATATTACTACTATAATTTATTTATTTATTTAAATTCTGGGTTGAAAATCATTTAATGCAGAAATATGCAGACGATACTTCTATTATTTTAGACTATTTTATAAATTTACATTTGGAAGAAATATAGTATATTTTTAATTTTAAAGATGAATGTGTTAATGAGGCTGTAAATAAACAGTTATAGTATAGAAAAGAATAGCACCAAAATTTAGTACAAGCATTTCTTCATTTTGCTGATCTGAAAAATGCAGATAGCAAATGGAATTAATTACATTTCAATAATCATTTAAATAATATGTATTATTGAAATAAATTTAGGTTCATTTGCAAATAACAGTTTCTGATTTTACTCAAACATTATCAAATTGATAAAAGTTATTAATAAAAATAAAACATAGTCAAAGTTTATGTGAAATATTTTTAAATTAAGTTTTTACAAAACAAAAATTCAATGCTATTTGACTCATTAAAATTATTAATAATACTGTGATGGAAGGAATAAATACACTACCAATGACATTAAGCTTTTTATATTCTCTGAAATTGATTAGTAGAATTTTCCTAATTTTATTTTATTCTAGTCATTTTATTAAGTGACGTTAAAAAATTTTATAAATGCTTTCATTTTTTTTAATATTGTAATTATTTTAATAGTTTATTCTTCTGAAAGCTTAAAAATATTTCCGTTTTTAATAATTTATTTTCTATTACATTTTGTATAATTCAGAAATCACATAATTAGTTTTTTAAATCAGTTTAGGGACTATTTGTTTGCACAAAACAGAAACAGAAATTGTTTGAGATTGTTTAAATTATATTTTTACCATACTATATTAATGCATTTACTAAGGTTAATGAATTTTGCTTAATTAATAGAAATATAGTAAAACTGTCCAAAACAACCTGAATAAAATGGAAAAAATATTCAGATGTTTTTACAAGTTTTACTTTATTTCCATATTTAAATATACTAAATGCTCATATTTCTTTAATAATCAATATTAACAAATTTATTGAATTGCAGACATAATCTCTTTTAATGATAAAATCTATTAAATAAGCTGTTTAAATATTATTTTTTTGTTATTTTCAAAATTAGAAATAATAGTAAAATTTGATTGGAAATTACAATTTTGAAATATTTTGTTTACCTTTTTAGATTTAAATTTGGCAATGGAGAAACATAAGAAATTAAATATGAATGAAATTTTGTTATTTAGCTTATTTTATATTGTACTTTTATTATTGATATTTTTTTTTATTGAATAATATATTTTAATTTAATATTTTGTTCAGTTGTTAAATATTTTTTGTTGGGAATGAAGAAAATATAATATAATTTATAATGATAAACTATATTGGCCGAAATTAAAACACACTCACAAGCTGCTATTTATCATTAAATTATGCAAAAATGTATTTCAAAATAAATGTGTGTTTGTATTTGTTTATTTTATAAATTTTTTTTGTTTTTTTTTTTATTTCTTAGATTGTGTTGAAGTCTGGTAAACTTCTAAGAATTACAATATTAAAAATTTATGGCATTTAAAATAAGTACTATTCACAACCTTAGTTACACAGTAATCTTTTTAATTTACAATAATAAGAATATTTTCAGATTTTTAAACCCCAATAACATAAGTTTAAAATGATTTATACAATTTTTACAAAAATTCATTATAGAGACTTTTGATGTTGGAGTTTAAAACTTTAAAAATATTTAAATTAATGTAAATAAAAGAATTCATACTTAAAACATGAACAGAATAATTGTATTAATAAAAAAGTTACTTTCATTTATCATCTGTATATTTGTTTAAACTTGTTGTAATACTTTGTTTTGTTTTACATTGTTTTCTGATGTTGATAAATATGATAAAATTATCTAAGATTATGTAATAAAAAAAGTTTTTGTCTATATGTCCAGATTATTAAATTCAATTATATAAAGCTTATAAAACAGTTGAAATACTATGGTTAATTCTTTCTCAGATTTATTGAAAACTGTTTAGATGTATTTATAAAAAAAATGGATTTATTTTATTTTCATAGTTTAAATTTCTAATTTAAATGATTTTCACCCATTGAATTATATTTAATAAATTTTATAAAAGTTTATGATTTGAATTGTTTTTAAAGAATACACAATAATACGGTAGGCAGACTACTAATTTAGGAAGCTATTTCCTAATTTAAAAAGTTTTGAATCTCATTCAAGTATGCAAAATATTAACAATTTTTTCGTACACAATATATTTTGAAAATTGCCAATGATACACTTTTGTGATATTAAAATTTGACAATAAAACTTAAATTCACAATTATAGCATTTTCATTTTCTTTTGTGTAATGTGTGATGGCATTTTATCAAATGAATTAAATAATCTTTAAGAGTGAAGTGAAACAAAAGAATTAATATGAAAACAACTTTTAAATTATGATTATAGAATGTTTATAAAGTCATGAACAGTTTTTAAAATTAATTTTAATGCATTTTATTAAGTTTAAATCAAAAAGTATCTATATCCAATAATAATATATTTTTTATTCTACGCTATAATTTGCATAGACAGAGTACAAAACAGTCATTAATGTGCCTCATGCACTTTGAAATATTAGATTCTATAGTAATGCTGTTATAATTGCAGTATAATCTGGAGTGACAGTTATCTTGATGTTTTCATAACAGTTGAAAAAGAAAACAAGTGCTAGGAAAATACAATATAAATCCTTTGCTCATGATAGTAATAGTTGTATGGTTAGTTAACAAAAATTCCTAGATTGTAGTTCTGTGAGTCTGAAATTTGTTGTTGATGTACCCAATAGTCTCTGCAGGATTCCACTATATTGTGATGTCATTAATCAAGCAAGTTACCCTTTGGAGGCCTTCCATCTTTGCCAAATACTTCACCATATTTGAACTACATTGGTGCTGTTTGTTAAATATGAAGTATTCACCATAAAACAAATTGTATTAATTCTTAAAAGTAAAATTAATTTTTTTCCTCCTCTCAAAGAGAGTTCAAGTTAGAGTTGTGTTGCTGGTGTGTGCACTTTCTATGTAGCATACTAAATGGTTGTATTCCAACATTAAATGAAGTTGCTTGTATAGATGTAAAATGATTTCATATAGCATGTTTGTTAGAGGAGAACACAGCTTGAATTTAAATATATTTGTTTACTGGCCATAAATATTTAAAATGAAAATAAAAGTTGCTATTATGCAATTAATTCAAAGGCAATTGATGGTAACTAGAAGATGTAAGTTTGTACAGTAAAGTATTGTGTAGGCAATTAGCATATATAATTCAGCCAGCCATTGGGGGATATATTTATAAGTATCTGAAGTGATGCCTGAAAATGAGACCATTTTCCCAAACCATCATTCTCCCATTTCATTAAGACATCATCATTTTACATGTGCTGTTAATTAAATGCCACTGTTGGAAATGACTTGTGTACAAACACATTGCTGCCTGACTCATTTCTGATGTAAGCACAATGCTATAGCTTCAAGAAACTTTTCTTTCATGTTGAGGATTTTTATGTAAGAAGCAAAGCATATAGTGCTACTTCTTATTCTGGGACAGACAGCCTGTGTTTTCATGTGATATAAACAAATGTACAGCATTGTGACAGAGATACTTTCTGCTGTGATAGTGTGAAATAAGTCCAAGTGATAAAGAAAACATCAATAAAAGATTTCTTAAACAGAACTGTGTTAGAAAGTAGATTATTGTATTATTGTAGGCTGTGTTCTTATCTTTCTCAAACATGTAATTGAATTCACTGTGGTGCTTGGACATATGTAAGCTATTGACATTTGATTTAACCCAACATGAAACAATCTTGTGTTTTAAATTTCTGGAATTTGAAGCCAATAGTTTTAATGTTATATTTACTGCTTTTATTAAAAAACATACTAGTCATATCCTGTGAAATTGCACTTCTTTCTCCGTCCTGAAATTGGACTGATTTATCATTTATATTGACCCTGTTTTATCCATCAATTATATATTCATAATTATACACTGGAAGCCAAAACTGTCAATGAATGGAATAATCAGCTACTGTAATAACAATTTGTATGAGGGTATTCACTTTGATAGGTTTGAATATAAAACTTTTTATTTTTATGAAAGTTTATTAGCTTTCCACATGAAGTATAGAATAAATGTTAATATGACATAAGTTACAAGAGAGAATATAGTAAAATTTGTATAATATTTCTTGGATGTAAATGGTGCTCAAAATAAAAATACATATCCAAATTTTATCATTTTTTGAAAAAATTTAATTTCTATGATCAAAAGAAAATTTTATTTATTATGAAAATTGCAAATTTGCCAATTTGAAAGAAAAATATTCTTTAATAATTTTAATTATACAGTAAAAATATTTAGAAATGAAAAAATGAAGTGGAAACATTTTAATTTTTAATACATTCAGATTATCATATACATACAAGGAATATACCTGTAAAATACTTTTTACTATATTCTTCATCATTAGTAGTTAGTATAATTTTTTACTTTTATATGAATGAAAAACACCTGATATATGTGTATATA